GTAGCAGGAGGTGCTGACGGTGCCCGCCTCGCTCGTGGCGGTGCAGGTGAAGCGCCCGCTGTCCTCGGCGAAGGCCTCACGGATCACCAGCTGAGCAACGGTACTCTCGTAGGAGATGTGGAAGTCGATGCTACTCTCGATCTTGTAGTCCTCTCTGAACCACATGATGCTGGGAGCGGGGTTTCCGCTAATTTGACACTCCAGCGTCACCGACTCACCCTCCGTCACGTTGGTGTTCTTCAGACCCTGCACACACAGCACTCAGAACAGTTAGTACGCATTGGGAAAATACTGAATGTCTTCTTCCAATATGAGAGTAGCATCATAACAAAGGTACCCCAACATGACAGGATGTGTGATTACCTAGAAGAGCATCAGGACTGTTTGAGGCATATGATAGCTATGTGATTAACATGATGATTCAGCCTCTATGGAGAGAGACATATGACAAGCATGCTCATTTCTGACGTGGAGCTAATCTGAAGTAAACATTGAATACTGCTTTCTATTCCTCCATCTTGTGACTGTGGAACTCCCTCTCTTGGATATCAGCATGTGAAGGACACTGTTCAGGAACTAGTTGATGCTCTGTATGTGATGACTACTTCCATTCTGGAGAGGATCACAGATACATGGATCCTGAGATTCAAGCTCAAGGCGGGGGACCATGGAGAGTTTTCTAACAATACGTATATAAACTCAGTTAAAGAAGCGTATGGTTTCAGGAGGACTCACCGACACCAGGGTGGGAGGAACCACGGCGCCGCCGGCTGACGGCACAGCTGCTGCCTCCGTCACCTGATGGAGAAACACCTCCGTTAGCTCATTACAATACAACTACATGCTACAGGAACACACACACACACACACACACACACACACACACACACACAGGACAGACAAACACACAAAGGAAACACACAGGACACACACAGGACACACACAGGACAGAGACAGGATGAGGCTGATGAACAGGTGAGGATGGGCGGTCAATAGCGTCGATGAGCACGGTAACGTTTTTGTTAGAGTGAAGTTAAAAGAATGATTCAAACACAAATATATGTTTTGTGCGTGAAGTTTCCTGACTGGATTTTCACACAAGAAAACCTGACCTAAACGTCTACCCTAGAAGTCAGGAAGCACCTGGTGTCTTCTCCTCAATATGGGAACACAACACGTTTTTATACAGATAGGAAGTGTATGTCAGTTTAATGAAACGTTTGTATTAGTTGTATTGAAGGTAGACATTTTGGCTCAGCTCAGCGAGGTCTTGATGCTGTAAGTCTTTCTAAATGTTCAAGAGTTTAAATTACTATGTTAATGTTTTCTGCAGACGTTATCAAGCAAACTGTGGTGTCTTCATCTTTTCTAAATCAAAGCGATGCCTGTATTGTGTTTCCCCGTGATATCTAAAGAAGTTTAAAGTTGTCTCGTAGAGGGGTCTTCCTCAGGAGCATCTGCCCTAAACCTCTGGACCCTAAACCTCCGGACCCTAAACCTCCGGACCTTAAACCTCCGGACCCTAAACCTCCGGACCCTAAACCTCCGGACCCTAAACCTCCGAACCTTAAACCTCCGAACCTTAAACCTCCGAACCTTAAACCTTCGAACCATAAACCTCCGAACTTTAAACTTCCGGACCTTCTCTGAACTGTGATCAGGTTTTCTTGTCCTGCTCAGATCCAGCCGGGTCACAAACCTGGACTCCCCACTCCTCATATCCCGCCTCCTGCCCCCCCGACAGCACGGCCTCATATGATTGGGTGAAGCCTCTGAAGGGGGAGGGGCTTCGGAAAGGGGGGGGGACAGACTCCATCTCCAGGGTCTTAGTACGGGACGGACTGGGAGACTTCACTGGTTTGATGATCTTTCTCACCCCACCAGAAGAGGAACAGAACTCTCTGTGCAGAGCGGCGACCGCCGAGCCGGCGATGGAGACCTGGGGGGGGGGTTGGTTTATTACATCTATAGCACTGGAGGGGGTGTACTGGTTTATTACAGCTACAGCAGGATCAGGGAAACCACTGTGCTTGTTAAACTGGGGG